TAATTGAGTCTGATTTTAATCAAGTAGAAAAATTCGATGTTAGAAAAAATAAAGAACCGGCAAATAAGAATATAGAAAAACAAATGTCATTTCATTCAACAAAAAAAAGAAAAATAACTAATAAACACTTAAGTAAGCCTAATTTAACTGAAACTGAGACATTAAAAAACTGTTTTTTAACATCAAATGTAGAATTTATTTCACAAACGTCACAGAATGATCACAATTATTTATGAATATAGCAACACTCCTAAACCAGGTAATATCAATATAGTGCCTGATGTTGAAGATATTATCAATGAGATAGCATAACACCAAAAGCGTAAATGCAATTTAATCATATATGGCCTTGATGAACCAGATTATACTGAAGTCTCGGATATCAGATGTAATACTGGTAGAAACAAAGTTGCGGAACTACTCAGCCTAGGTAATCCCAACATTGATGGAAATACTATTAAACTGTTTAGACTTTGTAAATTTGTACCTGAAAAGAAACGTCCTGTAAAAATTACATTAAATAATGAATCGGAAGTTATTTTTGCTATTAAAAATGCAAAGAAAATCAAGAACAAACGATCATTGACTATTTCATTTGATAGTACACCAAAACAAGTGGAATATTATAAAAAAAAAGTAAAGTCGCTTTGTTAGATAGATTTGATTTTTTTGTAAATGCGTAGAAATCAGTCTTCAATATTATTTTTGTATAAGCTATTAAATGTAGGTTGACTGACCTAATCTACTATCATAAATCGATATCTGTGTTCTACGGGTAACAGCTCGATATAATAATACATTTGTGTGTAAAAGATCTTACACGAATATAATGTTTAAAGCATCAATCAACTTAATGTGCAGAAATGCAAACAAACTTTCCAATACCTAATTGTGATATTTTCTGTTGTAGTGCTAATGAATTAAAAAAAACAAGTGTCGAGCTCTTATCTAATATATTTCATATTTTAATATTTTGTTTTCTTTAGGTATAACGTATATTTGTTTCTTTTTTGTACTTATTTGTTAGCATGATAATTGTTTATTATTGAATTGTAAAATTGCTCTGTAAATGGTTAACTGTTGGGCAATAAACGCTATTATTATTATTATCCCAGAATTAAGCCATGCGGCTCACACTCCCTTTAAAGGGAAAATTTACTCATCCCAGATACCTAGGGTATCAAAAGGATTGAGCTCTCGGGGGACTCTTTCCGTGTTATCTAGGTGTTTTCCTAGTCCTAGGTGACCTGGTAGATTGGAGTATCTCTGTATTTGGTGATCTTTTCGGTGTACTTGATACGCAGATTATTGTTTGGTATCGGCACATTAATCAGGTTTGTGGTTTGTCTAGTTTGTTTATTAACTAATATGAGATCTGGTCTATTGTGTGCCATTGTTTGGTCTGTGAGTACAGTCCTGTCCCAGTATAGCTTATAGTTATTATTATAAATATTTATTTGTTACATTCTAATTTGTTCAATAAAATAATTAGTCTTTCAAGTATTTTGTATTTTTATTTATTTTTTATCCATTTAAAAAACAATGCTAGGTATATGTAATGAACGGTATTCATTAACAGTCAATACTATATTCCACATTAAAGTTGATAAATTCATTATGTTTATTATTAACAAAAATATTTATATTATTATAATATTATAATTAGTGGAATTTCATTTATTGTAATTACCACAATATAAAATTTACTACTACCGATGATTTAAATTTGCCGCCGCCATGTGTCAATCGCACACTTGGCAACGTCGGATTTCAATTCTACGATTAGTCGCTCCTCAAATTTTGGGTAGTATATATTTAAAAAAATATATTTTAGTTGTTATAATTTAACATAAAAATTTATTATATGGTGCAGATAAATAAATATTGATTGTCGGTAATTCGCAAAGTTCTATTCTATTGACTATTTGGTTTGTTTACTATTAATATTGGCTATGAGCACGTATGCTTGGTTGTATAGTAATTTCCAGCCACTTCGAGTCTGTCAAAAAGTAACTAACTTCGCAAAAAAATAATTACTAAAATCACTAGACAGTTCGGACTGGGAATAGCGAACCGGGTATACTAAGACTTCCAAGATAAACCCACTTCGCAATCGAATTTTGTACATCGACGCGCATGACGTCAATTGGTGATAAAAGTCACTTTTATCACCAACCTTTTATCATCACAGTCGGTAAAACATATATTGAAAGAAAGGAGTTTTTATTTAAATATTTAGAACATTAAGGGATGTTAGGTAAAATATCTGCAATTAAATCTTAAAAATATGTTATATATACATCTCTGTTAGCCTAGCAATGTAAACTAAAATTATATAAAAAAGTAAGAACTAAACATCCTTTTGCAAATGGAAATTTATATACAATGGATTGATGTATTAAAATAAATATTTAATACAACTGATAAAATAAAATACTCTGTAATAATTTACAAGTTTATTTAACAATTTTTAATATTTTCTTCTTCTTAACTTTGGATGTTTCTTTAATATATCTATTCAATTTTCTAATTTTAAAATATAATTTACACCTTTACTAACATTACATTCGAACACAGCTAAATTTATTAGCGATTTTAAATAATTCTTGGTTAATTTTAATGACCCTTTGTTAAAATTGTTAAAAATATGGTCCAGTTCATTACATTTAATTAGAAAATCTGGATATGGTTTAAGTAATTAAACCTCCTTCGGAAAGATGGTTTACCCATTAAACCGATGTCAACGTACAAGATAAACGATAAAACAAAACTAAATCTCAAGGTTAGAAGATATTTAAGTAGATACTTAAATATCTACTAACCTTGACTAAATCTGACAAAACTCCATACAACACAGAACATTTCTGGTGACATTTGTCGCCACGTGACGTCACACGACTGATCGCGTGCGCGTGGGTTTATCTGTAGTTTATAGTATCATGGGTGTTAGAATACACGGAATTTAGGAGCAAACCTTTGAAATGTTCTGTTGGCATGAATGACAGAAGGTTGTCATGTCAATTAATTGTCATTAGATAAGTCAAGTCATGGTCATGTCTTTTCTTTTTCTTATATAATTGTAAATTGTAACATGTCTTTGAGATTACGCCTAATATAAAATAAAGTATTTTAACACATTTCCAAATATTATTTGAAGAACCTAACACAAACAATATGTTTCTTCAACTACAAATAATTTTGTATTAATTATTGAATGCTGCAGTAGTATTGTATTACATGAATCTTTATCATGAAAACCAGACTCCATGCAGTAACAACTCTGATTATAAACTGCTTTTTGTTGTACATTGTTTACTTCATGATCAAAGTTCTTTTCCTTGGTTTAAATTCTTGACCTTTAAGATGCTGTAAATCACTTTTTACTTTAACAAAACAAAGTCTTTTACTGAATAGAATTTGCATAAAGGGAGCTTTACATCTAGGCTATGCAAGTCTCATGCTATGCAAGTCCGTCTTGCATGGCACATCTCTTGCCTAGCTTGACCTTTTTACATCAGAGATATTTCTGTGCAATTTTAGATCCCTCTTTCATTGTTGCCAACAGAGAAAATATTTATCAATTTGAGGTTATTTTATTTTAAATAAAAAATATAATTAAGTACTAAAATAAATAATATAATAACTAAATATACACTATTTATGGTTATTAAAAGGGTGAAGGATGTCAACCAAAGAAAAGAAAACATTGTTATTGTTGAATATTGCTGTTGTAGCAACAATCATCCATAGTCAACGACTCACCCAGTCGTTTTTACATTAACTTTAGACATAGTATATCTATTTATCACCACTTAATAAACTTAATTTAAATCAAAACACAACAATACACATGTGGCTTAAGGGACGCTAAAGATAGAGATAAGGTTATTTTTTATTCTGTAATCTATTATAAATTGTTATGTTGGCAACATGAATTTTAACGATAAATTGCAAGAAAATTGCATGAAAAATAGAACATGTTCTAATTTTTCATCTAGCACAGGAATTGCATGGAAGGAAATAGCCCGTGGGCATGCGCAGTTCCATGATCTGTCTTGCATGGCTCTTGCCTAGCATGAAAATAGCATAATGTAAAACCAATGACGTATAATATATAGACTCGGTGAACGCTTTAAAAAGTGTCCAAAACATGAATACCTTTGTTATTGTTTATTGTTTTGATACGAAGATACACGAAGTTCATGATTTCTTACGAAGCATCACGAAGTTGATCTTGTGTTTGAAAACATCATGGACGTATGAAAGCATTTTCTCCATTTTGTGTGACAAGCAAATTTTATTTTAAATTGTTGAGAGTTATTTACTTACTATTTTAGTAAAATGCCATACTATTTTATCAATATAATTATTTCTCTTATAGATGGGACAAAAAGAAATCATAAATATTTAATTTTAATTAAAAAAATAATTATTGTCATTAAAATATAAATGAACACGCCGCTGTTCTAATAAACATACCTTCAACCTTGAGCCGAGATCTTTCGGACACTCGATTCTATAGCGAGAATAGGGGACTGCGTAGTCTATATATTATACGTCATTGTGTAAAACTGTCTTAAGGTATCACGACCGTAGTCTACCCTTTTCAAATTTACGAAGAAAATACATATAGAAGTCAGTAAAACATTGAATGAAATCTATCAACATTTGCAATTATTATTAATTCATAAATTTTTGCAATTTCAAATGCCTCATATTAGATTAGATCTCTGGATATTTCACTATGAAAAAGGCAATTCAAAATAAAAAAGAAGAATACAAGATGTTTCAACTTCATGTTTGTTTTTATTTTGTTTCTAATAATCCAGTACCAAACATCAAACCAAAACAAAACAATACTTTGATAATACTAAATGCACAATGCACAGTATAGACAACAACTTGTTGTTATTTATACTGTGCTAAATGCTTAAGTAAAAAACCCATTCTGGTTTTAAAGTAAAACTTTAACAGTTTAAAGCTTTGTACATGTCTAGACAATGGAAAACTTGAATGTAACAACACAAGATTTTATGAAGATTTGTCGCAGTTGCCTTTGTAGAAATAATTTGTCTCCAATAAACCAAAATAGTATAAATATATTTGAAAAAATTGCCGATGTAAAGGTAAGTAGATATAATATAAAAATGAATTATATGTTCAGTTAAAAATTAGTAATTTGTAAAATTAAAGTCATGAAGTATAATATCAAAAAAGTATTGGAATATAATTCAAATAGTTTCGGAATAATATCTTCCATATTTGTTGAGAATTTATGGCCAACTAAGCAAGACAATACAGTACAGACACAATTATATTTCATACATAGGTCTTTTATCAGCAAATTTTATTTCCCATTTTATTATATGTATCAGTTTTGCAGAATTTAATTTTTTGGGACTAGTTCTATCGTCATTTAAAAATGTATAATATATTATTTTTAGATAGATCTAAATGAAGAATTGCCAAAACAAATATGTAATGAGTGTCTCACTAAAACAAACAGCATTTCTTCCTTTATACAGACAGTAAAAAGTAATGATGTATATATTCGACAAATATTTGAAAGCAGTAAGCACATCAATCTCTCTCCACAGATTGATGATCATGAATCAGATATTAGTTGTGATGCTGACCGAGATATATTTTCTAAAGATTCCTTTAATGAGGGTATTTTAACTATATCTGAAAATGAAAATGAAACAGAAAAATTAAAAGGTATTTATACTAAACATGAAAGTAAGCAATTCAAATGTAACAACTGTAATAAAACATTTGCTAAAAAGCATAACTTAAACCAGCATTTAAAAGCTCATAACAAATTAGGTATATATGACTGTAAAATTTGCTTAAAAAGATTTAAACAACCTTCCAGCCTAAGGAGACATGATAGGATAGTTCATAAAGGAATTAAACCATTTAAATGTGATGTATGTAATAAAGGTAAGTAGATCTACCATTTAGAATACTGTATTGTATAGTTTTTTACCAGTTTGGAAGTCACTTTTGTAAATAACAGCCAACAGACTATTTGGAATTTTAGTTTTTTTAACAAGGTTGGGAAAAAGCATACAAATTATTTATGTGGAAATTAAAAACAGTGTTGTGTTATAAATATGTTACAATATTATTCAAATTGTAAAATATATACTTTAATTTTTAGCAATTATACTTCTAAAACAGAATCTATTTTTAGAGAATATGTACAAAGTAGGTATATGTGGTATTACCTAATAAAATAAATTAAATATGTTGAAAAGTAATTATAAAATCTTAAAAAGCAGTTTAGTTGAAGCCTATAGTGACGTGTTTATATAAATTATTTTCAATGAGATTTACTGGGTATGCCATAAAAAATGGTCAAAATTGTAACATGTGCTTTAGTTAAATAAAACTGTAATTTGCTGTTGCTCTTACCTTATAAATAATAAATTTTTAGAATTTGGAACTCTTTTATGTAAACAAGAACATTTTCGCATTCACACAGGAGAAAGACCATACATGTGCAATATCTGCGGTTTCAGCTTTAAAAAATATTCTACATACTATGCCCATGATATAAGACATAAAATAAAAAGAGGTGAAATCCCCAAGAGTACAAAAATACCGAAAAAATATCCTATAAAACCGCCCAAAAATAAAAAAGATCTGGAATGTGAGTTTTGTCAAAAGTCTTTTTCATGCAAGCAAGCGGTTTCAGTACACAAACAGATTCATTTTGGAGAAAAGTCTTTTTTGTGTACAGAATGCGGTAAAAGTTTCATGAGGAAAAGCCATCTAGAAGTACATGTTAGGATCCATACTGGTAAGTATTTTCATTTTTAGTCTAAATCAATTCAGTGTAAATATTCATTCAATTTTAGTGTAAATATGTTCTATATGTGCAAATTGCAATACTATGATTTGAGATTAAGGAAGTTTTGATCTTCTGAACATATGCAACAACATATTCTACAGATTTATAAACTTAAAAGTGCATGGAAAATGTATTGGGTGATTAGTGTAGTCTGCTTTGTGGAATTGAGTCCGCTTTCCCGATTCAGACACGGTGAAGCCGAACACGTAAATCGTGAGAACACAGAGAACGTGACTGTCTACCCACTAAAACCCTATTTTCCTGCTGCGGGCACCTGGTATGTGTTGTTAGTAAACATTACTTCAGCTGCTCTTTCTCTACTCCATGTCAGTAATGCCGACAGTGAGGAGTAGTTCATCTTTTCCTTATTTTATTTGATTTGTTTCATACAATATCCTGACTCCATTTTAAATCAAATAGATCACATAATTATTGCAAAAGTATTACCATCTCTTTACAACGACTATTTAAATTCTTACTTGACATTTTTGAAATAAAACACATTAATTTTGTTCTAAAACTAAAAAGAACAGATTTTATTAAATAGGTAAAAATATAAAACAAGAGGTATTCACTTTAAAATTCAAAATAATAAAGTACAAAAAGTGTCAACACCGCAACTGTCAAATAAGTGTTACCCATAGATTAGGGGGTGTTACCAATTTATGCCAAAATTTCACCTTCGTTCGATTACAGTTGTGTGTTCCGAACAAATTTTCTTCATAAAAACGCTTTATAATGCATTTATACAAATTAAATGAAACATTATTGTTTATTTCTTTATGTTAACATTAATAGAAATTTTTAAATATCATTTCTACGCGTATATAATAAAATATGTCTAGTGGCTGTAATGACAGTGTACTCGGGAAAGTGATTCTAAAAAAGAACACACCTACCACTTAAATATTTCGTGTTGGTATCATGTGACGTCACGGGCTATGACGCCGATGACGTGCATCGGTATGTAAATTAGATGAAGTGTATTGTATATAGATGATTTAAAACTATTGGCTTCCACTCAAAGCTACCTGGATCAGATGCTAAAAACAGTAGAAAATTAATGATCTTAGTATGCACTCTAGTCTTGACAAGGGTCGTGTCTTAAATATAATCAAAGGAAAGGTTCAGCCTGGCTTATGCAAAATGGTCAGGCATATGCAAAATGGTCAGAACATCGAGGCCATGGTTGAAAATGATTTATATAAATACCTCAGAGGAATAAATCAAGCGCGGAAGATTGACCATAAACAAATAAAAACTGAGATAACTACTGAGTTTATATGAAGGGTAAAACAGCTGTTTCATTCACACTCATACTCATTTGGTATTGTTAAGTGGACAAAAACAGATACAGAAAAGTACGAATACACCTCACAAAGGCACAAAAACACCATTCTTGAAGTGTAGTAGAAATAATGACATTAGGGCGGTATTTAGGAGGAAGAGGACTTATGGATATAAGTGAGCAACTAGAAAAACAGATTACTAATTTAAGAATTTATTTTCAGGTGCAGGCTGAGACATCTACTCTACATCGCACGATTTATGCAGTAGATAATACAACACCCATCAAACTGAGAGAACCAGAAATGCGTATAAACCATCTTACTAATCACGAAAAAATGCGCACCTGGTTGGGTAAACCTCTGCACGGGCGACATCCCAATGAGGTCAGTCAAGACCATATCGACAATATAGCGTCGAACTATTGGCTGATATCAGGAAAGATGTTCCCTGAAACAGAAGGTTCATTACTGGTCATTCAGGATCAGGTTATAACAACCAAAAATTACCTGAAACATATCGTCAAAGACCCTCGGGTCCAAAATGACAAATGCCGATATGGATGACAAGCTCAAGAAACCATCCAACATCTTACTGGGGGCTGCCAAGTATTTGGTGCAACTGAATATAAGAAACTATCTCCCCATACTGCCAATATGTTCCTGAGAGTATACTTGAGAATGACAACTACAAGGTATACTGGGACCACACTGTGCTCACAGACCAAACAGTGGCACATAATAGACCAGATTTCATACTAGGTAATAAATTAAAGAGACAAACAACACTAATGGATGTGGCGATACCCAACAATAATAATCTTCGTGTTAAACAGAACGAAAAGATCGCCAAGTACAGGGATCTGGAAATTCAAATATGAAGACAGTGAAGAGTGGAAAGACAATACCTATTATTCTCTCTACTACTGGAGTCATTCCGAAAAATCTAGTAAACATAAAAAAGCTAGGTATGAATGAACATCTCTACAAGACCATGCAGAAAGCTGTACTACTCTCAACGTCCAGATGTGTACGAAAATTTTTGGGAGATACTCCAACGTACCAAGTCACCTATGGCTCGATAACATGGAAAGAGTCCTACCAGAGCACAATTCTTTTGATACCATAGGTATCTGGGATAAGTGAATTATCCCCTTAGAGGGAGTGTGAGCCGTATGGCTAAATCTAAATAATAATAATGTTTATGCTTGAGAATGATGCTGATATAACATTGACAAGATATGTTCAAGACTAGAGGGATCATCATATTCCATTTCCGTAATATTATTAAAGAGATCAAAAATAATTAAAACTGTCATTAAATAAAATAATTAACTTAATGTAGCAGTATTTGTCAACTTATAAATATACTTTTATATGCTGAATTTTATTAACATTTTAGGTGAAAAACCGTATCAATGTAACGACTGTGGTAAAGATTTTCGACATCCAGGAGCTTACAAAAATCACTTGCTGATCCATAAAAACAAACGTCCACATAAATGTGACGTATGTGAGAAGAGCTTTGTTCAAATCGGCCATCTTAAGAGTCACGTTAAAACCCATACTGGGGAAAAACCATACAAGTGTACTCTTTGTGGAAAAGCTTTTGCTCAAAGTGGAAATTTAAGGGCGCATACTCGAATTCATACAAACGAAAGACCATTCAGGTGTGAGGTTTGTTGTTTGGGATTTTTTGATTCTAGTTCTTTGAAGAAACATAAGAGAACGCATGATAGAATTGAAGTTAAAAATGAGGATCCAGGCCAGTAGGTTAAATTTTTTGTGTGTGCTATGCGCGAGACTCATCTGGTTTTTCTATTGCAAAATACTTCTCTTGTGTTCTTGTATATACTGTTACTGGTAACATTACTACTTTAGAGGAGTTGCGACCTATAAGATCGTTTGCTCCTTTGTTGTTTTTTCTAATGGTTTCTTAGAGTTGCTACGAGCAACCACGCAGTCCTATTTTCCCAGGAAGTTTAATATATTTAGAGACATTGTTCTTGTTGGTAAATCTTCTTTTATTTAATATTCTTCCAAAAGATGTGCTCTGGTGTTCCTTAAATGAATAAAATCACAGAAGTGAGTCAGAGATATGGACTTTCACTGAAGATTAAGAAAACAAATTGTACGATGATCTCTAAGAAGGAACAGCAAATTGAAATAATCAGTGTGAATAGTCAACCAATAGATAGAGTAAAAACATACATCTACCTTGGTACGAATGTCAATGAAAATTGGGACCATTCCCTAGAAATAAAATGTAGGGTGGGTAGAGAAAGGAAGATATACATTTCAAAAAATGGCTATGCCATTCAAATGCCAGGATTTATCAGTACCCATAAAAATCAGGTTACTACGATGTTATATCTTTCCTATACTGTGGTACGGAGTTGGGTCGTGGACTCTCACAGACGCTACCTATAAGAAAATTGAGGCTTTCGAAATGTGGCTTTATCGTAGAATCCGGAATATATGCTATACCGACCACGTTACTAAGCAGGACGTTTTATTAAGAATGCAAAAGGGAAAAGACTAACTAACCATAATAAAAACAGCCAAAATTGAATACCTCGGTCACATCATGAGGAACAGCCGAAGATATGGGTTGCTGTAATAAATTCCTCAAGGAAAAGTAGAAGGAAAACGTAGACCAGGAAGGCGAATAATTTCATGACTAAAAAATTTACGTACGTGGTTCAACACAACAACCACAAATCTTTTCAGAGCCGCAGTTTGCAAAATATAGATTGCCATGATGGTCGCCAACATCCGCAACGGACAGGCACTACAAGAAGGTGTTCCTTAGCTTGCAGCAGTTTCTGAAAATATGTATAGAGATTTCATCCTTTGCCTCACAGAATCTGCATTTTGCCATATCCACTACTTACTTTCAATGTTTTCAGATACTTTCTTAATCTACAAGGGCATATAAGTAGTTCTTTTAAAACACAAAGTCCTTTTTTGAATAATCCTCCTCACAAAGTTCGGGTAATCCATGCTTTTTTCTGGCCGAGGACGATACTTTTTGGCACTCCCATGGTTGACTCTGGACTGAAGTATTCTGTAGCTGATGCTCTTCTGGTAAGCTCATCATAAGTAAGTTCATCAGCTCTCATAATAGTCCAAACCCTGGCTAAAAAAACAAAAAAATATACCTATGGATGAGCAGGGATAGGGCTTGGTGTTACTCACTCCACAGATCCCTATTTGCCGAGTTTTTACGCTTAAAAATCCAGAATGTAAATAATTATAAATAAAATTGTTTTTATTAATCAATGTATTTGTTATTTGATAATGAATTATCTAAACAAATTATTAAAAAAAAAACGTTATTGTCTATTTTCATTTTTCAAAATAAATATAAAGGATGCCTTAATAACACTATATGGCGAAATAGACATATTAACACTGAGATGAATAATAACATATGCCTCAGAAACAAGATCCGACACAGCCACAACGCAAAGGCTACTGGAAACTGCAGAGATGAGAGTACTGAGAAGAATTACAGGAAATACGCTGAGATCGAAAGATGAGTGAAGACAGAAGAAAATGTGACGTACAGTGTATAAATGAATGGAGACAAAATAGAAAAAAGAATGGAATAACCACAAGCAGAACGGGGAGACCCATGTCGTCAAAATAGCAAGAGATAAGTCACCAATCGGCAGAAGAAGTATAGAACGACCGCGCAAAAGATGGAGTGACAAGCTCCATACCATAGAGGTATTAATCCGCCAATGAACAAGCAGAATATCTTATAAAGAGGAAGAAGAAAATAAGTGTCTCAAATAAATTCAAATTTATTGACAGTAAATAATTAAGAATTCGGATAAATTGTGCTGACCAAATTTTATTCTAGTCAAACTGTTACAGCTGGGTCACTGTAAAGGACCGCATATTACCCTTTAAAATATACGGAGAGCTGTCAAATGAGAACCGATATTATTTTGATTATAATTAGTATATCGTGTTATATTTATTAGTGACCCTCCTTAATTTCTTGTCAGAGGATAAACTAATACAAGCCTAAGGGACGTGAGTTCTGGATGCGCAATGGCAAAATTCGAAAAAGTGGAGAAAACTTCATTCTCTATGAATTCACAGAGCAGTTCAATTAATTATAATTTGCCGGCTGCTTTTGTAGAGTGTTGTAATTTTGTGATAAAAATATGTAAAATATGCGAAAACAAGTTCTAAGTCATCAAACGCAAGAAGTAATTTAACGTTTTAAAATTTACAGGAAATTGACAATTGTTAATAGATTTGCCAGGTAGAAGTGCAGATCTTTATATTTCATAATAAAATTTAATATTTATACCTCTGTTTCCCTACCAAACATTTATAATATCCTTTGGTACAATTCACTAATAAACCAAAAAATGCTGGGGAAAAAGGTCCACAGGCGTTATTATTTTTTCGGTATCGTGTAATTGCATTAATTAATGCAGATAAAGATTAACACCTCTAGTGAGTAATTTTGCAAATAATGATTTACCATTGCAGGTTACAGCTTATTTATTGAAAAATAACAAAATTTTCCTTTCTTCAACGTACTCTGTTGATTGAAAGTTAATGGCAAACAATAATAAATAAATATGTAGAAATTGCATTGGAAAACCATTTCTAAAGGCGGACCAACCAGATATGGCCAACGGCGTGGAGATGCATAAGGCAACGGGAAACTAATCATCATGACCAACAATACAACTAAACACTCTACTGATCATGAAACTCGGAAAACAAGATCCGGCAGAGGAGGAAACTCACAAGACTGCAAGGCTTCCAACGGTCCACAAGACTGTTGACGGTCGTCAACATGCGAAAACCTTGGAATGTACATAATGCCGTTAAAGAAATGGAAAGGCTGAATATGGATATTTTAGGAATCAGCGATGTCCAATGGCCCGACGCAGAAAAGATAAAAATCAACAATAAAACAATATATTATTCAGAAAGTCAAGACGGTTCACACAGGTATGGTGTCGGGATAATATTAAACAAAAACATTGATGAAGCTGTAATAAATTTCACTCCATACTCCAACAGAATTATCTTCTTCTTCACGTGCCATCTCCTCCAAGAAGGTTGGCAACCATCATGGCAATTCGCACTTTCGACGCCGCTGCTCTAAAGAGGTCAGCAGAAGTGCAGTTAAACCAAGCTCTCAAATTATTCAACCAAAAGATGCGTCTTCTTCCGCGACAGATTTATACTCTTACAATTAAACCAGAACAAACTCAAAATATACATCCTACAAGTTTATGCTCCAACTGCAGACAAACCAGAGAGCGATATTGAAACTTTCTACGAAGACCTATTAGTGTAAGACTTTAACGCAAAGGTTGGGGAAGAAAAAATAGAAGAATGTACAGGAGGATATGGTCTGGTTGACAGGCTTATCGGATTTTGCCAAAATAATAATTTTGTTATAGCTAATACATTGTTCAAAATGCCAAAGAGAAGACTATATACCTGGAAGAAGAGAGAATTCTAAGAAACCAAATAGACTATGTATTAGACAAAGATACAGGAACGCAATTATATCCGCAAAAACCTATCCAAGTGCCGATATAGGATCAGATCACAACAGAGTAGTGACCAAAATTAGGCTAACTAATAAAACGAAGAACAACAAATGCAAAAATCGATACAAGTAAATTAAGGAACCCACTCATAAGGCAACGCCTGGCAGATGAAGTCTACAACGGATTAATGAATGTTAAAGAACAAATTCTGCAAAATACTGAGACAGATAAAAAATGGTTATTAATAGAGACAGAAATAGATAATGGTCAAAAAGAAATGGATGACAGAAGAAATTTTAGATTTAATGGAAGAAAGAAGTCAATATAAGAACAAAAATAATCAGATGTACAAAAAAGTGGATAAACAAATGAAATACAGAATTAAGAAAGCGAAAGAACAATCGCAGAAATAGAAGAATACCAGAAAAGACATGATAGTTTTAACACATAAAAAAATTAAAGAATTCACAGCAATAAAACAAGAAAACCGGGAATACTGAAAGATGCAAATGGGAAACTTGTGTTGAATATTAACGACGAATTAAAGAGATAGACAGAATACTTCAATGAACTGTTCAAAGACAATAGAACAGAGCAGATGAAAATAGAAGTAGAAGAGGATATGGTTTTAAAGATATTAAAAACAGCAAAAATGGTAAAGCAGTAGGTCCAGACCAAATCCCTATAGAAATTTTAAAATACGTAAATGATGAAACCTTAGACATTATAGTAGACTTATTTAACTAAGTATACAAAACAGGACACATACCGAAACAATGGTTATTCTCCACCGTTTGTGCTATCCCTAAAAATACAAACGCTAAATATTGCAGTGAATACAGAACAATATCAATAATAAATCACATTCTCAAATTATTCTTGAAAATAATACATGGCCGCATAAATAAAAAACTGGAAGTAGGAATAGATGATAGTTAGTTTGGGTTCAGAAACGGACTAGGAACCAGATAAGCGGTATTTGCTTTTAATGTGTTAGCTCAAAGATGCATTCATATGAATGTTGATGTGCATGTTTGTTACGTTGATTTTGACAAAGTAAGACATAAAAAATTAGTCCAAATTCTAAAGACAAAAAACATAGACCATAGGGACTTACGAATAATAACAAACCTCTACTGTAATCAAAGAGCACAAATCGTAATAGATAACGAACCCAGTCCAGAAATTGAAATCAGGAGAGGAGTTGGGCAGGGGTGTATTATGTCTCCATTACTATATTTAATGTATATAGTGAAGCCATTTTTGAAGAAGCAGTACTATCTCAAAGTGAAGGAATAATAATTAACGAAAGATCTATTAACAACATAAGATATGCAGATGACGCCGTGATTATGGCAAGCTCTGCTGAACAACTCCAATTACTGCTAAACAAAAAAAAAGTTTCTGTGAAAAATATGGACTAAAAATGAATATAAAAAAACCAAATACATGATAATAACAAAGAAAACAAATATACCAACAAACATACATTTGGGAAATGTACCGATAGAAAGGGTTGATAAATACAAATACCTTAGGAACCTGGATTTCAGACAATAATGATCAAACAACCGAAATAAGATCCAGGATAGAAATAGCAAGAAATGCGTTTGTAAAAATGAAACAATTCTCTGCAACAAAGACCTTAGATTAGAAATGAGAATAAGAGCACTGAGATGCTCTTATTCGTGTTTTCGATACTGCAATATGGACTTGATAGCTGGATATTGAAGCAAGAACACATAAACAAGTTACAGTCCTTTGAAATGTGGTGTTACAGGAGGATGCTTAGAATAGCATGGACACAGAAGAAAACTACCACGGAAGTATTGCGAGAAATGGACAAAGAATGCGAAATATTAAACAATAAAAATAAGAAAGTTACAATATCTGGGACAGGTAATGTGCGAACAGCGATATGAACTGCTAAGGCTAATAATACAGGGAAACATAAGAGGAAGAAGGAGAGTGTCATTGTTGAAGAATTTAAGGAACTGGTTTAACTGCAGTTCTATAGAACTCTTCAGAGCAGCAGTAGATAGAGTAAAGATAGTGATGATGATATCCAACCTCCGATTGGGAGACGGCACTTAAAGAAGAAGAAATTGCATTCTCATTATAAATAAAATAGTTGTAACAAGCTGCCGAACAAGACTTGTCAACAATGTTCTGAATGTGCTAAAGATGCACACCTCGTGGTTCTTCGCTATGTTGAGCTAGTGTATCAAATTATAAACTGAAAGAAAAGAAGTGTAGGACGTTCTTTGAAAAATGGAACAAACTTTGATGTCAGGACAGTCAACTACCGTGGTGACAATAGAAAAAGAGGAATTAAAATAGTGGAGAAGGTGGTGAAAGTAAAACTATTGAAGAGAGTTGGGAAGAGCATGTATCCTGGCTAAAAAAATAAATATCATTAGAAAAATTACCAGCATTTAAAATATAGGAAATAAAAAAAATTAACGTGTCAAGCAAAGTGAGTGGCGTAGAAATGTTGCTAATATTAGATTAATTGCAATATAGGAATGACGACGGTCTCATTATTGGAGCATATCCTACTTCGATAATGTTTTGACATACTTGACAACAAAATATAATACAACATGGGTTGACATAATCCAAAGTATTTAAAATGTCTTAAAATATGTCTTGGATTTGGAAATCATCAAAATTACAAGTTCCAATTAAGCCGTGCTTATCATTCCTCGAAGATAAATGTTTTCATAAAGCAAGAATAACACTAAAAGAGTTTGGTGTGAATTGGTTGGATTTAATACAAGCTCAAGAAAAAGTAAACCACCCTGCTTTTCACAAAATGGACGCCGTATTTTTTCATCAAGATCGATTTGAACTACTTGTTGACGCTCGAGGGTTTCGCCCGGAGGATATTAAATGTAAAATGACCACAAATTTGGTAGAAATAATCGGACAAAGGCAAGAAGCTCTAAATAGCGGCAGTAAAAGTATGTCGTTAGCGAGAAATTATCACTTACCACAACCTGTTAAACCAGAAGAAGGAAATTGTTGTTTTTCTACAGAAGGGATCTTATTAGTAACAGCTCCATGGAGAGGCTAGTAGTTTCGAAATTTTGTTTTTTATATTTTTTTGTGAATATATTGATTACTCATTTCATTTTAATGACCTCTTAGTAAATTTGTATGTAAAAATATACAATGAAAGATATTTTATTTGTGTTCTCTGACTACCTTTTAATTTTTCATTAATCTTTATTTTGACGACTTTTTTGTTGCTCTTTTTAGAGCTTAGTTTATGTCCTGTAGTCTATTTAACTATTTTCCTTCTTTTATATTTCCCAATTCTATCTATTTGATTTCGCCTTTTCTTTCTTTTCAATCTATATCATTCAGAATAGTTTACAAAAAGTATAATTTAAGATGGAGACTCGATATAAAGTCGGCATAATTTTTTATACGGTATATATGTGATAAATACTTGCCCTAACGATATTAGAATTTTCGACACCCTGTATAATTTAATTTTTTTAACTTAAGGGGCTATATACTAATACATTAGTGTTTCAATCAAGGAATAAGGAATTACGAGCATGTGGAAGAAGAGTTGACTGACATGTGACAGTTCCTTTTCAATAAATAAAGTTTCCGATTAATTACAAAATTTAGAATAATGGAAACAGAATCAAATATTACTGAATTAGGCGATAGAAAGTCCTACGCGGGCATTCCAGAAGCCGAATTTGTGGTAAGTTCTTTCATAAAAATACAAAAGCATGCGGCTTCTAAAAATAAGTAATTCTAACCTATTTTCACCTTATGAAAATTTAAATTCTAGGAAGATGTAGATGCTTACATGCAACGATCTGAAAATAACAGTAACGTAGACGAAGTTTTAAAAAAATTAGATAGCCAGCACGCCAAATATAAATTCATGGAATATAATTTATTGTCAAAGAAGAAACGGCTACTAAATCAAGTCCCAGAGTTGAAAAGATCCCTTACTATGATAGAGAAACTTGAGGAGGAAAAGGAAGAGTTCGAAACGCAGTTCCTGCTTAGTGAACAAGTGTTTGCGAAAGCCAAAGTTCCTCCCACTGAGACTGTATGTTTGTGGTTAGGTGCAAATGTAATGTTGGAGTACACTTTAGAAGATGCGAAAAAACTGTTGACTCAAAACATTACCGCAGCGACGCGGAACCTGAGCTATGTTGAACACGATTTGGACTTCTTAAGGTATTTCTAAACTGTACATTTTAACTTATAGTAACATTTTGTTTATTTAACATGCTAACATTGGAACAAAGAATATAGACGCTTATATATAATAAGCGTCTATATTCTTTGATTGGAATTAGACAATGGAAGAGTAATATATAAAGTTAATGACCTTTTATGTGTCAGGTTTTTGAATTATCTCACTTAGGGATATCATTCTACTTTAAATCTAGTATAACTTATATGTGAGAATAAATTTAGCCACAGTGCTATATTCATGTACTTGTAGGCCACACATTAAAACATCTAGAGGTAATATTAATAACATTGTGAATAATTCTTAAAATGCATTTTATGTGCCACATTAAATGCATAGTACAATTATATAACTTACTAGATATAAAGTGATTTTTCTGGATGAAGCGTAAAAATTGTTTAAACTTTCCAGTATTTACATTTTTTTATGTGATGGCATTTTCTATTTAATGCTGATATATTTTAAATGAATGTATACTATGTGACTATTTTTTAGAGATCAATTCACAACCACTGAAGTTAACATGGCAAGAGTATATAATTGGGATGTCAAAAGGCGTCAAGCATTGAAAGCAACAGCAGCAAAATAATACAGAGATGTTTTTGATAGAGGCCAATATATTAATTGCATTTTCATCAAATTATTTTATTTTTATTAATAAATTAATATTTACAATCATTGTAATCTACATCCAAGCCTTTGATTTGAAATTGGCTGCCACAGAAGAATGATTTTGTTTCTTAAGTATTAAAAATCAAATATTTTTAATGTGATCTGTATTTCTCAAGACATGTGACATCAATTGCACTATTTTTTAATCATTTTCTTTGCTTATTTATAGTTACTTTCATTTTTATTATTAAAAAATTTGAAATCTATTAACTTTTTTTATGTCCAGTGTACTTGTAATCAAATTATTGCCAGTGTGACTGAGGTAAGTGGTCCATTAATTTATTAAATATGTAATTATCATGAGACTCCACAAATGTGTCACTCTTACCAGTGCTCTGTAAAACCATGTAGATTAAATATCTGGAAAAATAAAAACAAAACTGTTGTAAGAGCTATTAAAAATATACAAAACAAGTTTGTGAGATATGTGGAAATAAAATAATAAATGTATACAGTAGCAAAGGAAAGTAATGAAATGTACTGTTGGTAAGCCAAAGACTTAGGGTGAAAAAGGAATAATACTTATTATGAAAACGCTAAAGTGGGGGAGGAATTAAAACGATTTAAACAAATAAAATATTGTATAAAGAATATAATAAAGGGATGTAGCTTTATTATAGCAAGTTAAATTAGTCATTTTCATTTGTCTATTATTTCATTGCTAAATCTTTGGTGTATGTCATTTTATATATTGCTTCATGTGTTTCTTATCTTAAGATTAATTTAAAAATTACATCAACTTAAACTTTCTACATTAGACTGCATCGAAATTGAGAGTCCCTCCCTGGGTGTTTATTTTGGAGCCTTAGTCTTATTACTCACAACTCTGTAACTATGGTTGTAGAACACAGGTCCTGAAAATAACTAGACTCAAATAAGGTTAACCCAGAGACTGAACAGCAAAGGGCCAGACATGTGATAAATGGGAGAGGATAGGCTACCAAAAAGAGCACTGAATTAAGGCCCTTATAACGATGATGGTTTCCAACCTACGATATAATATGGAGCTTGAAGCAGTTTGAAAAAAAGAGCAACTGTTTAAATCATTTAATAGTGTCAAATATAAATATGGAATAATTTTTAGGTTAAGGTAAAAATATACATAGCAATTCAAAACGAAAACTCCCCATAACCTTATCTACTTGAAAAAATATATAATAAAAGTAATTAAGTACTTATTTTATTGTCTCTCAAATACCCAGTTTTCACTTACTACACAATTTAGAGAACTATTATAATGTCTGACTACCACAAATGTAAGGTATAGAAAATTACCAATATGCTACAGAAATGTTCTAATTTGAATATAGATGTTTTGACATGAATCAAGAGGTTTTTGTGCTTTCCTAACTACAATTAAACATTAGACACAGTCACATATGAATAATTCATACTATTTTTCACCAGCCAGAAAAAAGAAAGGAATACATATAAAGCAACTTTCCTAAGTCAGTTAAATTAAGCTATTATTTAAAAAATAGATTTACAGTTACAGTAGTCATTGAAAATATTGACAAAGGGATATCTTAATTTTTCTGAAATTTCCCGTAATTTTTGCACACTGATATTGCTCTACTCCAGTATGATTAATTTAAGACTGGATGTAAGTAGGACATCTAGAGCTAAAACTGGATACTAGCTTTTAAGAAATAACTTCTCTTAATGTGCAAAATAAACCTTTCACAAAAACTTTTTATAGCTTAGATAGGTATGTAACAATTTGTCTCAAAAACATAAGGCTTTGTCAGTTTTTGTATAAAATACTACTGCATCTACAAATACGCAAATGAGACTAGCCTAGTGTCTGTGTCCATTTTTTCATTGTGGTGGTAGCCCACAAAGGCGTCAGACATTTTAAGGTTATCAAAGCAGATGGTGCTTTTTAGGCTACAATTACACTGGGAAAATGAGGACGCACATACATATAGTATCCAAGTTTGAATTTGTAGATATCAGCACATGTTTGATGGTAGGCATTATGTGATTAAAATACGACTTACACAGTATTGTTTTCCTAAGACATAGATAGACATTTCTGCAAACAATATCGTCCTAAAAGTAGTACTTTCTGTTACTGAAAAGAGTACTTTCTGTAAAAATAATTTACCAATCAATCTTTTCAACAGTTTATAAGGTTATGAGCTCATTTTCATAAAAATCTACATAATTAAACAGCCAAATAACATTTTAACTAAATATAAACTTTATTATACAAACAAAACTTCACTTCTCATATAAAAAAGGAACTTAGTGTATATTGGAAAATAATTTTGTGTATTTAAATATCATTTAAGAATCCTTTTCAGATAAACAGAAATCTAATATATTCTTAAAAGTTGTAAATACGAATGATTTTAGTAGTTGACTATTGGAAAACATTTATCATAATGTTAATATAGTCTAAATATGATGTGGTTAATTTTTTCTGTGTTATATACACTATATAGTTATAGAGGTAAAGATACCTCACCACAAGAAAGCGATGTTGTTCAGATAACACCACATGTGGAACAAAAATATGCAATGCACTAAAAATTTACAATCACGAATCAATTGTGGACTGTAGATTCCTAAATGATAACTGACATTCAAGGAATTTACTTATATGCAAATCTTACAGCATTATAGATTTTGCCAGTGATTTTAACTGCCCAATGAACAGGTGAGTGTATGTGATTCCTAGCGATATATCAAAAACTCATAACTGATCGAGACATCCCATGTAGCTTTCAAAAACCTATCCTAATGCTCAGCTAAAAATACATTGAGACTTAGCATTCTTGAGGAACCTATATTTCAAATGAACTCACGAAACATGACTCAGGAACTTATTTTTACTGAAAAGTCAAATGACATACTATATAGGGAACAGGATATTTCCTACTTCCATGGGTATTTAATATGGTACACTGATGGATAAAGTACTGCTCAAGGAATTGGGTCAGAGGCTCTTGGATACCAAAACTTTCATTTTAGAGTGTTCCAGGGTGAAATTTTTGCATTGGTAGCCTGCACCGAAGAAATTATAAGGGGAGCTACAAAGCAAAAATAATTAATATTTAAATTGAGTCAGGTGGCCATATTAGCAGTAAAGAATCCGCTTACCCAATCAGAACAGCTAAAAATCTGGCACAGATAAGTGGGTGTGTTTAATATAGTGTCTGGGCACAAGAAGGTGCAAGGAAACGAAAAAACAGTCTCGTTAGCAAAACAAGGCTCGATAGAGCACAGTTGTTCTGCGACATCAATCAAGAGGCAAAAATTGCTGGAAAGTGGTCAGCAGAACAAATGGAAGAGCCACAGAAGAGTAAATCTATACAAAGAATCTAATAATCATTAACAGTATGCGGAACTTAAAATCGACCACAGAAATGGTGATTGGACACTGCCTACAGTACTGGTAATAGTCAGGCGGAAATAGTAACATTCTATAAGGTGCCAAAGGGTCAGTTGGTGTTGCTGCAGCTTATAACGTCACTAGCAATTGATGAATGTTGCTACGATTTTTATGTCCAATTTAGCAATAGCACTCGGGAGAATTCTATCTACGGAACAATTGTAACAAAGAGCTCAAAACCCACATTATTTAGAGTAATAATCCCCAAAGAACCTTGTTCTACAAAAGAAGGAAACTATGATATTTTTGCAATTTTGTTGGCGTTTCTTATGTATAGAGCATATTGTAGCTTACTGTAGCTGTAACATCGAGTCTGTATTTTAATCAAACTAATTCTGTAAAGGTTGGCGAACTGTCAGGTGAAAATGAAATACGAGGGTAAGGCAGGGATGAATACTTTCTCCGCTGCTCTTTAAAATAGTTCAGGAAGCACTAAAAGAAACATCAACTAGAATTAAAGTCAATGGAGAATCAATCAATAATATCAAATACGCACATAATACGTTAATAATTGCAGAGTCGGTTAAGATAAAAACACGAAATTCATGACATGGCAAAGACACAACAAGACAGGTTATGGATTAGGGGCGAACTCGTTCAAAAGGTGGGCATTAAAAAAGGACATCATCAATATAGTAGGAGCATCTGGCATGTGGACTTGGGACGTGGCATGGGAGATTCTTAAAAATAAGCTGGGTAGACAAGTTTACAATAAAGTTGTTTTTAAACTTATGAAAAAGGAGGTTTTGAATACAATAAAAGAATAAAAGTAAAGAAATTGCAGTATCTGGACCATGTCATCAGACGGAAGACAGCCAACCTTCTTAGAGGAGACGGCACTTAAAGAAGAAGTTACGAATTTATCTAGAGTGAAAAGTATTTTTTATTGTGTTCTTTAGTTAGTTTAGTATCTTTAGCATAAGAAAAAGTTGGTTTTTGTGCCGCCACATTTTTAGTTTATGCGAAGTAATCATAAATATTTCTTATTTATTCATTAGTTAAAAAATACCAAAGAGCAACCCGCCTGCTGGAGGATCAAAAAAGACACGGTCGTTCCAAACGAAAAAATACTTATTACATTAATACTGAAAGCTTTGTATATTATGTATATTAATACTGCTAATTTGTATTATAAATTAATGCCAAAGTTAATTGATATGTATCAACAACCATACCACATCATGAAGATTAGGTACATGTTAATTATACAAGTATGCTAATTCAAATTACGCTAGTAAATAATTAATTTGCTGTAATATTAAAACTAACCGAATCAGTTTTGTAATTGCACTAATTTTTATTATGAATGGCAGCGAAATTGTAGCTAAAATAAGAATTTTGTCAATAAATTTTTACTCACGGTTCCTTCTTCTGTCGTCACTAACTAAAACATTTTATTAAAACTGCCAAATCACACGATTTTTAAAGTTTTCTTAAATATTTTTCGACAAAATTTAGAGAAAAACGGTTGGGACAATGATCCCGTTGAAATTACTGACCCAATGTATAGAAGACTAGCATGCCTTCTTTGGATACAAGATTAGGTGCTATATATGCGACTTACTATCGTATGAGGTGGGACATGGATGCTGAATGAAAATATGTCCATGAATCTCATGCTAAGAAGAATATAACTAGAATACTATAATGAAATACTAATGATCGACAAAAATATAAATAGCATGGAGTATTTCGGATACATAAAGAATATGTAGGAAGATATGAACTACCATAACTTATAATAAACAGAAACATACAATGGAACCATCAATATAAGACGAAGAAAACACTTGTTGAAGAATCATAAGAATTCTTATCACCATTAATTCATTAATATCAAAAGTAAAAACAAATTATAGGTAACCTTGGCTAAAAAATAATAATTTCAGAAGAGTATTTTGCTATAAATAAAAATTTTTATATAATCTCAATAAGAAAATATGATTTCTCCTCCAAAAACATCCAAAGCCTTCGTTCATAAATTAGCTTCAAAAAGTTGCAGTGTCTTCTGTCATATGAGCACTATCTGTGTACATACGAGCGCTATCAGTAACTTTTCACGAACTTGCTATGTATCCCAGTCACCAGTTTAAGACTGGAAACCCTTGTAGTATAAACTAATATTTCGTTATTAGTCAAATGTTATGCATATCTTGCCCAAAACACTTTTATGTCATTTACCTATTAAATTTGTTATGAAAACAAGTTCAGATTTGCCACAACTTATAACTTTTAAGAATAATTTTTGGAAAACTGAAGCAATTTAGATTTTATTCTAAAAACTTCTTATATATGTAAATTAAACAACAATTCTAAAAAAAAATAACAGTGACAACAATGATATTTAAGTACACAAAAACAAAAATTAAGTAATAAGACCGATAGCTTTAGCTGCAATAAAATATTAAGCAACTACTGAGGAGGTTCTGTAGCGGCAGGTTTTTCTTCACCAGCTGGCGGCTGTTCTTCATCTTCAGTAGGTACAACTTCAGGTTCATCAGACGCGGGAGGAGCTTCTGATTCGTCTTCAACCTTCCTCAAACTTTCTAATTCTTCTTCTAGCACCTTACAACGGGCAGTCGCTTCTTCTAATTTTGAAGTAAGTGTTTTGTGTGTTTCAAGGCCAGCTTGTAGGGATAATTTATCAATGATGTATCTAATATGAAATTAAGGAAAGTGGAAAATGTGTTATATGTTTTAAAATCATTTTTACGAAGTACTGGACGAAGGTCAAATACTTTTAGAACAGATCTCGTAATACTTTTGTACAGAAATTACTTTGAAGGATGCCACGAGCTGACTGTTAAAGATTAAAGCATTGTAGGGTTATGCATAAAGATGGAAATCTTTGGGACATACCTTTCAAGTTCATTGTAGTTCTAAGTAATTATAAGTAATATAATAAAGACATCTAGGAGAGAAATTCAGAAAAGTGGTAGTGGAAAAATGGAAGATGAACAATGTATATACACAAGAATTATTCCTGACTATAAATGCTTGTTATTCTTAGCTGTAAATCACTGAGTGACTGCCGCCATAAGCAGCCCCCCACTTATTGACCATAGGCTACAGACAGACAAGTTGGAAAGTGGTAGTCCACTTTTTTGTCATGGGGTTGAGAAATCAGCCTCAAAGGCGGATGAATAAAACATTTAGTCAACAGCATAAGGATGGGGAAACACAAGTTGGGCAAGCACACCATTAAAGGTCCACAGCGACATGCCCTAGTCAATCAATCATTGCAATGCTCAAAACTAAAATAAACAATCGGATCTCTGATCCTTAGGGAGGACATTTTTGAGTTCACCAAAATATAATAAATTGAAGTGCAGAAAGAATATCAAGATCTGCATATGGGATGCCAAAACCTTATAGAAAGCAGAGACAATCTACAATACAAAACAGGAGATGAAGAGAATACATATTCAAATCATGGAAATAGCAGAGATGAGATGTTCCAATACTGGAGAAACACAAGTGGAAGTTCACAAGGTATACTACTCAGGAAAGAATGATGGATCTCATGAATACTGAGTCAAAGTAATTGTAACACCTAAGGTTGTCAAATGCGTTACTAACTTTACACCAATATCACAGAGTGTGATGTTACTACAAGTACAAGCCAACCCCATCAATATAAACTTCATTCAAGTGTATGCTCCCATTGCAGACAAACAGGAGGAATAAGCAATCAAGTTTTACCAGGAAAACAACAGAATTATACAGAAAATTCCACAGCAGGAAGTGCTTATATAGGAGCACATGGTCTTTGAGTCAAAAACAAGAGAGGAGACCTAGAAAAATTCGCAGAAGACTCAACTAGTCCACTGTGGAGCTGTTCAGGAAGCAAGTAAAATTAAAAAAAATGCAGAAAAGAAAAATCACAAGCATATGATAAATGTTGCTGAAAGACCTTAATAAGAAAATTGAAGTCCTAAGTCATATTAAACAAGCAAGTAACTGATCAGGGATGAAACAAATAAAGAACAAAATATTAAACATATTTATTACAGAAATAGTTCGAAATATAAAGGAAAAATAGACTTTTTCACATTTGGTCCCAGTGAAGATAGCCTCAAATGGTTTTGATCTAATGAAATATTGGTGTTTGGCAGTGTTGAAATTTACATTACAAAGGAAACATATACAATCAAACACAATTGGATATTTAAAAACTAATACTTAACAATTACCAAAAAAAGAAATAGTAAATAGTTTTAAAACAGTTTTTAAAAGTAAATACTAAAATGTCAGTATAAATAATAAAGTTAAAAGACATCTGTTTCAATCTGGCAACAGGTGGTTTGAGGTTTCTTCTTCTATTGCCAAATCTATCCACTAACCTATCAAAGGGCAATTGCCAAAAAAATTTTCTAATAATTAATTGCAATTAATATCAAACAAAACAAATACTAATTCATTAATGTTTTATATAAGGTATAAAATTACAGAATCCATAAAATAATATAATAAAAATGTACATTTTAAAAGATTTATCTCTTTGTATTTGAAGCATATAACATATATACATTATAAGAACATGCAACACTGCCAACACAATATTTCCTACTGTGAAACTTAATTGACAGCTAATTTGAGGCTATCTTTGCTGGGACCAAATGTTAAAAAAAAATTCTGAAAAACATTTAAGTCAGATATATTAAGCAAGAAAAAATCATGGATGACAGATGAAATCCTGAAGCTGGTAGACGAAAGAAGAAACACCAAAGATATAAAGTGATAAAAATAACAATAAGAAGGAAAATGAGAGAAGCGAAAGAAAAAGAAGCAATGTAAAGACTTTACAGTTAAAACATGATAGTTAAAATGTACACAGGGAAGTTAAAGAACTCACAGGTAAACTAAGGCAGAGGCAGAAAGGAATTCTAACTGATTCTGATAGAAACATCATCTTGAATGGAGCAAAATAAGAATGTAGAAAAAATACCTAGAGAAACTGTTTGAAGACCAAAGCGATAATAACTTCGAGCTAGCAAAGCAGGTAAATTATGGACCAAGAATATTGCAGGAAGAAGTTAATTCTGCTAATATATTCTGCTACAATCATTGAAGAGAATGGAAAAATAAGTAATTAAATAATACAGAAAATAGGGAAGGAAGGATTCCATATGACTAAATAGGAACAGCTTTTTTAAAAAAAGATGTAGTGTGGTCTCCTGTAATATATGAGACCAAATTTTGAATATTAAGAAACAATCACAAAATATACATTAACATTATAGAAATGAGATTATTGCAGAAATTAGGAGAGGTCACTAGAAGACAAGAATAATAAACAAGACAGTAATAGAATTCGAAACTGATATTATTAAAAATAAGTGAACAAGTGAGGAACAAAGGTGACAGAGAAAAAAAAACAAAATAAAACATTATCATAAATAAAAAACAGTCCTAGAGTAATGAAAAAATAGGCCAGATTAGTATGAGGAAGTTAACATGTCCAGAAAATCAAGGAGTAAAATGAAACAAGGTTAGTTATTACACATACTAAACCCAGTTGTTTAGTGTACTTATGATAGCTCCTAGAAAGCTTGTATCAAGGAATTCTGTTGAGGAGTTTATTTTGAAATATCTGCATATAAGATGTACATTATCTTACAACAATCTGTAGATACATTTACACTCAATGTCCACTTAATTTAATTATGAATGACTACTTACATAATGTGTCCATATGTTTCTACTTATTAAAATCAGGTAACATAACACCAAACAAAATTGTAGAGATTATTATTTTTGCTAATACCAAGTTGTATTAAACAAATACGAAACACAGACAAAGCTCTAAAGTAAATTGAAAACTCTAATATAAAAGTGTTCATATATTATTCAGGAAATCGGTAAAGTTTTTATACAGCAATATAACAAAACTTTTTTTGCTGATTTTTGTTACATTGAAAAAGGATACGATAATGCATCTTCTGGTTTATCTACTTCTTCATATAGATTTACTAAAACTTTAGTTAAGGCATCCATTATCCCAGCTTTTTCTAAATATTTGCGGAATTCTTCCCTTTTTCCTTCGGACGGCTTAAAAGATACAAGACAATCAAGATACAGATGAGCACTTAAATAATAAGAACATTTTAAATAAAATTATATTCTTTCTTACCTTATAAGCTTGTGGAGTACTCATATTAATTTATTGGGTAGTACAAAATTTGCTGACAATTTATTATTTTTTGTATAGGACGTTTTTATTCAAAAAGTTGACAGAATGGCAATTCTGAAATACTTTTTATCACAGTTGACACAGTCCTTATATTAGTAATTATAAAATTTCAATTATTTTAGTAACAAGTTAAATTATTTTACTAAAGAAAATTATCTTTAAATTCCGCCCTTACAATTTAGAACATTTTCAAATAAAATAATCAAAATATAGAATAAAACTAGAGATAACACTTTCTACCTTCCACAAAAATATCGAGAGGGACTTGAAATGTTGCTAACTTAATATTTAATAAGTTTAATCAATCTGCTTCCATTAAGGTAGCTTTGTACTACGTATATCTGATTTGAAAAATTATTTAATCAATGGTACCTGAATACAATACTAAAAAGTCATTGGTTCGATAAAAACAAATCAACCAAATGACATTAGGAGTAAGGTCAACTAAATCTGGGCTTAATGCTTAATTTATGTGGAATGTCAACTTTATACTTTTAAAATATGTCTGAAGTCCCAAGTTCTAACAAGACCATCAACAAACACTCATCTACTTCTTTTTTAAAAAATCAGATAACCCACAAATATTGCCGAAAAGAGGAAAAAGAAGATTATGTTAAAAAACAAAATAATAAACAGCTACAGGGAATAAATTTAAATAAGGATAAGGAATAATAAGGATATTTACTACAAAAAATATGAAATGTTAATAGAAAAATGGATATCATTACCGCTTTTATTGCTATAGCAGTAATTTATGGAATATTGTTATTCTTTGACAGTTTTTTTAAGGTATATCATATGTGTAAATATTGATCATTATTTAAAAAATTATTCACAGATGCTGAATTAGAAATATTTGTTTTAATTGTCTGGTTATAACTTGATTTTCTTCAATTCGATCGGTACATCCAACAAAAATCTTACATGTTGTAATTTAAAAATATATATTTTTTGAATTATAATAAATTTAATATTTTGACTTTATTTTAGACATGTGCTCATTACCCATATTATCAGTTCTTGGAAGGAACAGGATTTAAAATAAAATTTCTAACCATCACCTGGCAAACCAAAGCTTTTAACAGAACATTAATAAGATTGGGCACCAGTAATCCTCATTTCTTGAATATATGGTTTAGCTTGGGTCTCCACATAAGCCTGATACTTTTGCCAGTCTCAGTTGCTATGTTACTTTACAGCATATCCCAAAATTTTGTTGATAGTGATAAAACAGATACAAGATTTGTGATTGAACCAGTAGTACCAGGGGTAAATTTACCAGCTTCAGAGCTGGGATATTATGGTGCTACTCTGATTGTAGCCAGTGTTGTCCATGAATTAGGGCATGCTCTAGCTGCTGTAATTGAAGATGTAAGTGTATTGGAAGTTGGTGCAAGTATATTTTTCGTACTTCCTGTTGCCTATGTAAATTTAGCTACAGATAAACTATTTACAATAGAGAGGAAAAAAACACTTCAAATACTTTGTGCAGGTGTTTGGCACAATGTTGTTCTTTCAGCAGCTGCTTTTGTTCTTTATTTAACACTGCCAATATTATTTAGCAGCACATTTTATGTTAATAAAGGAATATCAGTTACAGAGATTGCAAAGAATTCTCCTATTATGGGTGCTAAAGGATTATCAGTAGGAGATGTGGTTTTTAAAATAAATGATTGTAAAGTAACAGATGAAAATAGTTGGTACGAATGTTTTGGAGAAATAAAAAAGCATCAGATGGCACTTTGTGTCGATACAGATTTAATACATAATTTAGATGAAAGTATACCACTGAAGCATTCTGAAAATGGAAATTTGGACTGCTGTGATGGTACTAAGTTTGAAAATATATGTTTTGAATATTTGGATAGTAATGATGGAATATTAGAATTGCCAAGCCATGCCTGTTTGCCTGCTCGAAAGGTTGTTGAAGAGTCTCACCATATTTGTACTACCATTCCTCATTCTTGTCCATCAAATACTTACTGTTTCAGACCAATGCCTGGAAATTATACATATTTAATTAAGCTTACTTGTAAAAGTAAAATTGTTATATATTTAGGACATCCTGGAGATATATACAGGACAGTAGAAGTTTCTTCATATATACCTAAATTTTTTTTTACTACTCCAACATTGCCAGATACAATAACTAAATTTACAAAGTATTTAACTATAATATCTTTGGGATTAGCAATAGTTAACATAGTACCATTTATGTACATGGATGGGCATTACATATTAGAAGTGTTGGGCTATATGTTGCTAAGGAAGAAATTAGGAAAAATTAAGTATAAAGTGGCAGTAGCTGTAATAACAGCCTTCTTTACAATAATACTTGCCCTTCATTGTTTTATGTTCCTGTATAGGAATATTTTTATTTAATTTATTAAAATAATATTAATTTAACCCATGAATGACTAAACATTAATATAATTGAACATTTTGTAAATCTTTTCAAGTATATACATACATCACAAATTATGTGAAAATAAACAGTTTTAATATCATTATTGAAAAGTTGTACTTCTGTATAATGGTAGATAATCTACATATCTATAATGTTTGCAACCCACATCACTTCAAGTAAAATGGGAAGTCATGGTAGGCAAAAAAAAAAAACAATATATATATCAAGACACCTCATCATCTGCGACATTTGTGAAGCAGCTGTCTTCACTTTGCCCATGATTATTATTGTGTCTGTGTCATTGTATCTGGGCCACATACTCCGAAACGATAAATACTCTCTGCTACAAGTCATCATGCAAGGTAGAGTAGAAGGAAGAAATCTTGGCTTAGGAATATCAGAGATTGGACTAACCTCAGTGTTGACCAGATATTTTACGTTACAAAAGATCTAGAAGCATTTAAAGAAGTGATCGCCAACCTTCGTTAGAAGTCAGCACAAGAAGAAGAAGAAGTCTGTGTCATGTTCAATTGACATATCTGCAGTCCCCATGCTATGTTCTCAGTTAATCCATGGGTGTTTAAAATTTTATTCAGACCTGTTCTATTTTTAAACATGATTTCCCCTATCAACAATTTGAACACGCTGTGTCACAGTTGAGAACATCCATGTGTATTTGCATATACACAGTCACATATCCAGTCTTCTTAGTCATTTCATATTTTCAATTTTAAACCAGCAGAGATAATTCTCACATATCCCTATTCTTAACTGTGTCAACTGAATGTTGCTGAAGAAGGTAACTATGTGTTGAATTATTTGGCCTATGTATAATACAATACATTTAGGGTCTCTTAATACCATATTTCAATGTTCTATCTAGTTTTTAATGTAATTAAGGTCATCATATTGCTGCAATGGATTTATGATAATTTCCATTTAGTGATGCTATGAAAAGCTATTTCAATACCATGCTGTGCAGTGCCATTTTATATTTGATATTCTCATAATGAGTTCCTACTGCAATTTGAAAGGTATGGTCTGACATGAACCACTCAGCAATTAGCTGGTGTAAGTCACCTTTAATTACAAAGTGCTTGATTTTGTATGCAGTTGAATCTGTTTATATTTTATAAGGTTTTCTAAGATAAGTTCTCAAGTGTTTCATTAGTTATGTCTGGACAGAGAGTTGGTAAACCTGCATTTTAATTTGTTTTAATTATATTTTCAATCTTTACAGAAGTGAATGTAATAATGTTTATTTGTAATTTTCAATAATATTTAATGGGAAGTATGATAATGCACCATTGTTTATTTACCATAAAAAATCATTAACAATAAAATAAATATAAAATGTTTAGTTTTTGACATTTTAGACATTCATGGGTAAAACAATTTTGTACATATATTACAAAATAAATGACTACATTAAGTATAATAAATTATTTTGCTAAATTTAAACTTGTTTCTAGTTCTTTCAGACACCTTTCACCATAAGTTAGGCATGATCTAATGGTTACTTCATCAGTGTGATGTGAGTTATTCCTAAAATCAGTTCTGGTCCATTCTCTTAATTCTTTTCTATACATTTCGTCAGGTACTTGTTTAATAGTACGAAAAATCTTTCTGTATAGCGTTTTCACTTCTTGTTTTAGGATAAACTGAAAAATATAAACATATTTAATTCATTATGTACTGTATATACCAAAACATTTTAGACAATTTATGCAAATATGCTCATTAACAATATTTCGGCCTAAAGGGGATTATTACCCTTACAGGTATAAAAATACATACATAATAAGATCATTATCTTAGGTGTTGTATTGTTGTGCTACCTGTTTACATCATTTTTTAAAATTACTTTACTTTGAAAGAAACTTTGATTATTTGCAAAACTTCCTGAAACATTACCTGTTTCAAATTTAAAAAAGGTTTATGAAGTTTCGACATAGGATTAGTTGCTTTTTTCAACAATATATATCGTTTAAAAAGTTAAAATTATTGATATAGACATATTTCGGTATATATAAAAAACAATTTTTATAATACATAATCTTCGATGTAGGTTAGGTTGAAATTCGTAAAATTTTTCACATTTGGTTGGTCCCATTGAAGATAGCCTCAAATGAGTTTGACAGAAGGAAATATTTGTGTTTGGCAGTGTTGAAATTTATATTACAAATGAAACATATGTAATCAAAAGCAATAAGATGTATTAAAATTAATAGTTTAGAATTACCAAAAAAGAAAAAATAAGTAGTTTTAAAATAGTTTTTAAAGGTAAATAGTAAAATGTCATATTAGTATAAATAATTAGAAAAATACATCCGTTGCAATCTGGCAACTGGTTGTTTGAGTCACAGACCACTAACTTTGAGTGTTCTGACACAGAATAATAATCAATCAGAAGGGCCACTCTCAGATGCGGGATGCCGCCTTTGAAGTTTTTCAGCACGCGCGCCATGTTTTAGGAGGACACAGACATATGATTTGTGTGGTTATGTAATTGTTTATATTTATGTTTAATTATATTATATTTATGTTATTATATTTAACAATGTTAATATAATTGTATAGTATGTCTATGATTGCCATAAGTCAAAAAAACCTGGTTAATTTTTCCATGCACATCACATAAACAACACTAATTTCTTTAAAATCCTCCTAAAACATGGCGGAACGTCTGCGCGGAGGAGATGCGCGTACTTAATTTTCCGTGGAGAGTGGGTATTCTGTTTGTTTATTATTCTGTGGTTCTGACTCTATTACTCTATTGCCAAATCTATGTGCTAACTTATTAAGTTTCCAAAGCAATTTCCAAAAAAAAATTCTAATAATTAAGTGCAATTAATATTAAAAGAAACCAATATTAATAAATTCGTGGATTATATAAATCGTAAAATTGCAAAATCTATAAAATAATCTAAAAATGTACTTTTTAAAAGTTTTCTTCTTTGTATTTGAAGCGCAACCATTTACATTATAAGGACATGGCAACATTGCCAACGCATCTTTCCTTGTGTGAAACTTAATTGACAGCTAATTTGAGGCAATCTTCACCGGAACCAAATGTGAAAAAAGTTCGAATTGAAAATATGTGCGAAAGTCGCAGCTTTTCTTTTGATGATGGTAACTGATTTGTGTTTACCCTCTGTTTTTTACTATTAAATTTGCCGAAAACCAAGTTAGAACAAATGTTAAATTATTATTTATAAGTACTTTATTTACTTCTTATCCCATTTAAAACCAACTTGAATGTAGTAAAAAGAAGATGAATTGAAAAAAAGAAGAGTGGTATTTGTAAATATCTTTTTATGTTTTGTTTTGTTTTTTTAGATTTAGGTTAACAATTATGATGACTAAAAGATGTATCATTTTAATGGTTCTAATATCTAAGGCTGATATGTGATAAAATATTTGTAGTGCAGATTATTATTGTTTTGTGGTGAGAATCCTTGAAGTAGTTTAAATAATGAGTCCTTTAAAGAAACAATTATCCAAAACAAAAGAAGTTTTAAGTCCTAAACGTTACAACTTGCGTGAAAAACCAAAAGTCTTGATTGATAAGTGGTTGATTGAAAATAGGGTCCCGCCATTAAGCGATGTGAAGATTGTAAAAAAGAAAAGTATTACTTCTCCATCTAGTTCAAAGTCCATAGTTAATAAAAAGCCAACTACATCGCCAGACACAAATAATAAAAAAATACAAATTTCCAAAACTACTTCACCCATATCATCAAAAACTACTTCGCCCATATCATCTAAAACTACTTCCCAAAGAAAATCTAAATCACCTAGCAAGAAAAAAGAAACTAAAGCAAAACAAAAAATATATAAGAAGCTTGATAAGTGGTTGATTAAAAAGAGTGTCCTGCCTTCGAATCCTGTAAAAAATCTCAAAAAGAAAATTGATACTTCTCCTTCTGGTCCAAAAAATGCAGTGAATGGAAAGTCAAAGAAATTACCAGATGTAGGTAATAAAAACATACACATCCCTAAAAATTCTCCACCCAGACCATCAAAAACTATGTCCCAGACGAAACATAAATCACCTAGTACGAAAAAAGAAACTAAAGGTAGCAGATCTTCACCAAGGAGACCACAAAGAGAAAATAGGAACAATACAGTTGAACCACCTATTTTAAAGAAACAAGTAACCAAAGAGAATAAACAAAATAAGAGTTTATCAGACAAATTACAACCAAAACCTACGGATATTATCAAACAAACTAATTCAAAGAAAGAGAAAACTAAAGAGAATAAACTAAGCAATATTAAGCGTTTATCAGGGAGCTCCCAAAGAAAAAATAGAAGTGATATATATAAGTCAATTAGTCCACTTAAACAATCCACATTGAATGAATATGTTACCAAAAAAGTGAATAAAAAAACAATCTTTAAGAGGACTGACTCATTTGATAGTATTGATTTACCAGTTTTTACCACAACTAAAAGAGTTACAAAAGCTACTAAAACAAAAGAACAAAAGTCCTTATTTGAGAAGTATGGTGTTGTAATACCCACTGTGGATGAAATATTAAGTGATAAAAAAGATCTTGAACAGTGTAAGTCAGTGTTAAATGATTTTAATCCTATTAGTGAAGATAGCCTGGAGTTGCCTATATTAGAACAATTAAAACAGAGTCCTTGCAATGAAAGAAATCTGGACTGTAAACATTTAACTGATCAGGAGCTGGAAGTGTACTTCAATGATAATATTAGTTTTCTTAGTGATATATTTTCAGAGAAGATTAAGAACACTCGCCATGAAAGATACTTTAATCAAAAACATAAAGTGCTTACCTTTTCTGTCAATGATTTAACATATAATACCAGTACAATTGTGTTCAGTTACGAACAGATAAGGTTTTTAGTGAAATTATTGAGCAAGCGTTTTGATCCAGATGACACAAGAGCACAATATTTGTTTCAAGTACTGTTACCTCAGTTATGTTTAAACATTTTTATGGAAACACATGGTATGACTGAAGATGAAGCTGTTGTATATTTAGATGAAAAACCTGTTGTGGATTAGTATTATGACATAAGAGCCAAAGTTGCTACTTAATGACAAAAAGTAGGTATATATTTTTGTAACTGAACAAATTTTAATTAAAAAAATATATATATAAATTAACCTGAATATAAATAAGTTAATTCATTAGTTTCAAAAATTTGTGTTGTTTTGTTATATTTATCTGTTTTACACTAAATGTTATAAATTAGTCTTATGTGATGTGCATACAATTTTTTAAGTATCCTTGTGTGTTTGCTAGCCATATTAATATTTTATTCTTGAAATTTGTTGTCATCTTATTTTTTGGTTATTGCTAAAAGCCCATACTTGGAAGCTATCAGGTGGAAATACCTTGTTTCATATTAAATTTTATCATTGAGATACCATACTCAGTCTTATTTAGTTATTTGTAATTAACTGTGTTTAATTGAAACTCATCTTCCATTCTTGCATATAGTTATTTGTTATATTGTGATAGAAACATCATCTGCCTTCTTATTGTGCCTCCCCTTTCAATGATTTTAAATTATCAAGATTTTTTTGCTCTTGTTTACCTCTAAAAGATTCAAACCTCAAATTTCATATCTTTGACATTCGTCTGTGGCCTGGATTACTTTTTCCTATATTTTGAGATGCATTATATGTAGTTTCTTTTATTCCTCTCGTAAGTTGACCCAAACATTCAATTCTTTTTTCTTTTGATATGCAATGTAACCTATGTTCTTTACCTATCTGGCATATTAATTCCATATTTTGTCATTCTATTATCTATCATACACATCTATCCTTCATTCAAAATGTTATGTCCACTCTTTAGATTCAATTTAAATAGAATTTTATGCAGCTCATACTTAATACTCTCAGGCCATATCACTTCAAAAGCTTTAGTTTGTCAAATAATAATTTTTCTATTATCACTATATGTACTTGGTCAGCAATATATTTTTCTAGCAAACTGAATTATAATTTTCTTTAATATAATTATGTTAAATGATCATAACATAGATGCATTATTGAAAAAAGCAATTTTTTAACTATCTTATTTGACAACTTTAAATCAACAAGATATCAAGCAATCACATACTGTTTTTGTAAATTCGACCAAATGGAATTTTGTCACACCAATGCAGATTTTATTATTTATTTTGTTGTTTTGTGTACCAGTACTTAATTGTTGTTTTAAGTGTTTATTATTTGTACTGATTGCCATGTATTTATACTTAAAAGACACATAAAGCCATAGTTATTTTTAAAATAAAATTTATGTTATATAATAAATATTCCTAGTAATATAAATATATTTTTTAAGATTTTCTTATAAATAAATTCTTCAGAACCATTGCAGTTGTGTTTATTTTGTCATCCTAGCTGTAGCTATGCTGTTAAACTATCTACTAGGTTTTAGTACTTAATTTTAGTACCACCATCTCTAGGGGGTTGGGGTGAATGAGTGTCAGTGGGTTATGGGAGCTATTTTATTATTAGGGACTGAAACTGAAAGGGACTACAGGGACTACCTGGAAAAACAAAAATAATGATCGCAGACAGTAGATGAACTACAGAAGAACTTCATATAAAAAGGGGCTATTAAAACAAGTAAACCAAGTATACATAAATTATTTGACCACATAGCTAGAAGAACAGGGACCATGGAATTATTGATAGTAGAAGGAAAAGGAAAGGTAGACGGCCGAAGACCAAGAAGAAGATCTTCAACTTTTTACAACACGTTCTTCTTCTTCTTCCTTCTTGTATGTAGGCTTTAAAGCCTATTTTTTCTTCAATATTAACCTCCTAAATTGTTTAAATTGTCGTACCATCTTTTTCTTGGTCTGCCAATACTTCTTGGTCTATTTAGTGACTCATCTCATGCTATTCATACTATCCTATCCTCTGCAATTTTACTAATGTATTCGTTCCACATCTGTTTCCGTTTTGTCTCCCATCCATTTATGTCTTCTGTATTGCACGCTCTTCTTATCTTTTCGCTTATCTCCCTATCCAACAGACTTTTCTCTAATATTCGCCGAAGTATTTTCATCTCTGTTGTTTCTAGTAGTCT